TCTACTCCTCCAACCCCACCCACCCCTCTTTATCGAAACGCCACAGCGCCGAGCCGCAGCGATCCGATCGCTGTATCAAAATCTCATTTAGCTCAGAAACGGTTGCCGCGGCTTTTGTTTTATTTTTGGCTTTCCCTTCTCGCCGAGAAGGAAGCCGAAGCAATGAGAGCTCGAGGATCGGTTCGAGCAACCGGCGTCGAATTTCGCAACGCAAGCTATTCGATATTCCCCTCTCTTTCTCTCTTTCTATACGCTTGCCCTTTAATTATTGCATTTTATTGTATTTATCCCGGGATTCTGATTTTCATTTGGAGAACATTTCGGACGCGTGAAAAGGTGATTTGATACGAAACGAAAGGCTTCGAAGATATCTTTCCGATCGAGAAAACGAGATTTTTCTCACGATTTCACGAGGATGGAATCGAACGAAGCGAGAAACAAGGAAAGAGGATTTAATAAACGGAGGAGGAAAGGGAAGAAAATTCGTACATTCCCGGGCAATAAAAATTTTGCAACCGAGTTGAATGACCACAACTCCATTGCGCTTCCCGATTCCTCCTCTTTTTTTTCGCCCTCCATTTCCTCTCCCTCTCTCGTCTCGAGACAAATACCTTACTTTTCGAGTATCTAGCGAATATACCACGCTCGAAAGTTCGGACGAGATTTCCACGCGATGCTCGTGGACACTCTTATTCATGACGAGTTTGCTCGACCAGCTATCTGACACAGCTCCTCCAGCGCGAGCAGGGATTGCACGTCGGACGATTTATCACGCGATACATGTCCGAACCGAGATAGGGGCGTAGGCAAAATCCTTCGTGGCTCTCCGGGATTGAACAGGATTGCAGCTTTATATTTTGGAGGACGAGGGAACGGAATTAACTGCTTCGCGCGCATAATCTTTCGAGTTTCGTTGAAACGTGTACTTCTTCACCGCTACTTGATTTCTTAAAAAAAAGAAGAAATATGATATGAAGAATAAAAATTACAAAAAGGAACGATTCTATATATATATGTATAAACCGTTGCTCGAACGAGATATTAAATTGGGGTAAACAAAAACGAAAGATAATCATTTTACGAGGAATCGTAAAATACATTGTGCTCCGAATATAA